CCATAGACCGTCACACCAGGGTTTCCCAGGAGCTATACCCTCACAATGCAGTCAAGAAGAGCACATCTTGTCTGACGTGTCCACCCGGTCTGCATTGATCAGTTGACTCCAAGCCGAGGTCAAGAATGACTCAACGACCAGCCGATTGACTCAAACGGAGCCTGATTTGAGCCTCCCGTTTATCCGAAGCAGGGGCCAAAGCAGTGTGTTGGGGACGCTATGTTGCCCCTCAACTACCAGGATCCCCCTTTCCGGCATACGGGACACCACGCACGGCAAACACGTGGGTGGGCGTTCAGATCCCAGGGATGGTAAAGAGGAGTTTCTAAACCATCTCTGGAGGTCCCCTCACCACGGACAGGAACCCACATCGAGGGGGCATAAAAAGGGGGACACTAACGAGTTAAGCAACTGGAGACCAATCAACCTACAGTTAACGATTGCTAAACTCTATTCGTCCGTCATAGAAAAGCTGATAAGAGAAGTGGTATCAGAACATCAGCTTATCTCCAACAACCAAAAAGGGTTTATGCCAACCCAGGGGTGCATGGAGCATGACTATGCAATCCATGCCTTCATAAGACATGCCAGAAGAACCAATGGAAATATATACGTATGCTCTTATGATTTTAAAGATGCCTTTGGATCAGTTGACCATAATCTCATAGAAAAAGCCCTAATTTCACACGGTTTTGACAACGACGCCAAGAAATGCGTCATGTCTCTATATGAAAACGTTCAATTCTGGGTGGAGACTAAGAATGGTTTGACTAACTTGATACAACAAAAAAGAGGAGTTAGGCAGGGCGACCCTTCTTCTCCGCTAATATATAATCTAGTAGTCGACCATCTATCACGCACATTAAATAAGCACCCGAAAACCGGATTAGGCTTCAATCACCTACTATATGCAGATGATCTAACGATGATTGCAGAGACGCCACAACTGATTCGCCATCTACACGAAGAAGTACTAAAGTTTTGTGAGGAAACAACAATAGATATAAATCCTCTTAAATGCAAAATACTCGCAAATAAAGGCCGTGGAAAAGGTATATTACGGAGTGTGGTGGTACACCAATATATTTTTGTTTCATTTTTATATATATGTATATATATGATTCTCTCTCCAGGTTTCAGATGGGTTTCCTGGAGTGCCACGCAGAGAGATGATGTGGATGATGTCAAGTGTTTAATGTCAGAGAAGTTGTTGCGAAAACCATGACAGTTCCATTGGATTATTTTATAATCCATTGTGTGTTTGAGGCAGCATTCTTTGTGAAGGTATCCCTCTTTAGTTTTACAGCTGATTTGCCTTTTGGAGGTGAAGTTGGTGGTGTCACCTCCTTATTAGTCTCCTCGTCAGAGAAGTCTGAGAACTCACTCATAGACTGAGCCTATGATCTATTGGATTTGGAGATGGCTGCTTTTAATTTTTGTTTGTTGAGCGGGTTCTTAGCAGCCTTCTTGGAACCCACATTTCTTGTCATTACCCCTGTTTTTGGTAGGGGTGTTTTGGCTTTCTTAATCTCCTTTTCTGATGTTTGGGTAGTTGGGAGAATTAAACATTTCGCATGGCGGGTAAGAGATTCACTAGGAGAGACAGAAATATCTGTTTGAACCCCACATGTCTTTGTGGATTTCAAAACAGCAGCAAATGTTTTCTGTCTCAAAGGTGCAGTTGAAGTGACCATACGACGAGCCTCTGGGTAGGGTATGTTGTTGACTGTTTTCACTTGTTGTATCTCCTTTTCTCTTTGCCATGCAGGGCATTTTCGGGAGTAAGAAGGATGGGCATCTTTGCAGTTAACACAGCATGGGGTACTGGTACACTCGGTACTCTCGTGACCTTCANACATCAACAACACGATCATCCCTACTTGTAGTAACACCGACGCCATAAAATACCTAGGGAATATGTTAGGGACGGAACAGAGATGTCTATACTCATCTTTTCACGATCTACTGAAAGACACAAAACGCCTACTAAACAAGACTGCCAACTGTTGCCTAAATATCTTTCAAAAAAACCATGCTATTAGAACATTTATAATACCAAGATGGGAATATTTTATCAGGATAAATGGTCGAGGCATCTACCACTCCGACCTACTTGGACGGGCGATAAGGTCAGCAGTAAGGAAATAAATTAGATTACCAGCACACACCCATTGTGCTCTCTTTCACTGCAGAACGTTCGACGGAGGCCTAAACATTCCTGAGCTTTGGAACTGGAGCTGTGCTACACAAGTGAAACATGTGATCAGTTTGCTAAACTCGGACGACAATATTATAAAACAAACCATAAGAAATGAAATAACCACACTGCTGAAACTAAGATACGATACTGAATGCACTCAAAATAAATCACATAACGAAATAATAACCCAGTTTCTTAAACGAGGCAACAATTCGATCAATAAAAACAAATGAACACAAAATAAGGGCTAGAATTTCCTCTGGATCTTTCAGCTATGAAATAGCACAACAATATTTAAAAGCGGATGTCTGTTGGATCGTAATTATGGATCCGACAGACATCCGCTCCAACAGTGAATAAATGTAAAAAAAAAAAAAAAAAGTTTAACTGCTTCTTTTATTTAAAAATGTTTTGTTATTCATTTTGCATTAATTTCAATATTTGTTTGTTTTGAAGAAAAAATATATTTTAACTCTTACATATTAAATATTTATTTTACATCTTTGTTAAGTATCTGTATAAGTGTATGTTTACGCATAAGTAAACTGTATGCGAGCCGTTCATTTCCCAAAACAATAAGTTCATAAAAGAAAAGGTAGAAAATATGTATTGATAAATTTTTATACATTTCTTGTGAAAAAAAACATTTCTTATTCAACGGCCATAAAAATTATTTCTATTAATGATGTCTCCAAACTTTAGTGAATTTTTCACAGAAAAATAACTTATCAGAAAACTTTCGTCATTGCTTAAGCTCGTCAAACGGTACACACTCGGTAAGTAATCTACAATTTCTTGTCTATAGCATAGTTTATATGGATTATTCCCATAAATTATACGTATTTTGGAAAAGTTGAGTCAAATTAGTCTAGAATCGATTAATTTTATGGAAGAAAACCTTTCAAACAGCCCTAAACTGCACACGTGTTGGGCTGTGATTGGCTCATGTATTTAAGTGACTCATAAAACACGGAAACATAACACAGAACATATCTACCGTGTTATAGGGGGTCGACCGTACAGTGGATTTTACGTATTTCTTTTTGTAATGGTTTGCTCATGGATCGTACTATCTCTTGTCCCGAACATCACACCAAGACCCGTTGGTTATCCTTATATCAAGTAATCTCATATATTAGAAATGTTCGAGCCGCTAAAAAGTTATTTCTTATCTATATTAAAAACAATAAATTCTAAAAGAATTTTTTAAAATTCTTTAAGAATAAACAAGTTAAATTCACTCTTTTGTATCCTATTTCGAAAGAATTAAAGACAGAGATGGACGTGAAACTTATCAATTATTTCTTACTTTATTTTCCATATTCATTTCACCTGTTAGCCTCATCAGTGGATATGACGATTTACATTGCCAATACAGTAGAGAGTCGTTTATCCGAATCAATTGGAGACTGGGGTTGTTCGGATAACTTATTTTTCGGATAACCGATTATGTACGAAAAAATATATTAACCTAGCTCGTGTTGAAATTTTTCTCCATTGCGTGTCGCTTCACATTGAATTTTCGTCGATGTTAAGCCTAACGTAAATACAGTAGAGCGCCATTTATCCGACTTTCGGATAAACGACGCTCTACTGTACTTTTATATTCTATTACATTATATCCCAGCATGCATCAACATATGCGCCGGTATTCAAATTAATAGCATTTACATAACTCTTGATACAATAATATTCAACAATACGTGTGGTTACAAGGTTTTCTATTTTATACAATATTTTGATATTATTCCGATCAATAATACAATTTGTAATACTGCAATGCTGTTGCCACGGGGATTCAGTTCTATTTACTCAAATTGCCGCCTCATGTTCTTTCAGTCTCACTTCAAGTTTTCTTCCCGTTTCGCCAATTATTTAGACGTTACAATTACAAGATGAAACACTGGTGTTGCGTAAGTACGAGAAAATATGTAACAATAATAAGGTGATTAATTATAAATGATATTGTCCTATAGGAATAAAGAGAAATGTATTTTTAATGGAATTACAAAAAATTTTTAATAGAACAACATTACAGAAATATATTGAAATGGAGACTAAAAATCTTTTTAAAAAATATTTATTAAATGGTTATCCACAGCAACTTGTATATAAGTGGTACACTTCTTATACCAATAATAGATATAATGTGAAAAATAAAAAAAATAGATAACTTATATATTAAAATTCCATATATCTTATATTTTTCATAAAGTTTTGAAAGTTTTTAAAAAAATTATTATTTTGTCAACTTAGTAGGTGAACAGCGACATAGGTTAAATAAGAGTATTTATTTGATTAACAAAGGAAATATGAAACAGTCGAAGAATCCTCTGGTTGGTTGGTTGGTTGGTATTGGGATTTTGGCACAAGAGCCATATAGGCTAAGCTGCAAATGGTAAATAATTATAAACATCACAAATAACAAACATATGACAAAAATAAATAAATAAACAACAGCAACAACAAAAAACAAATATATACATATTAATAACAAACTAGTACAAACAAAAACGTAAGATAAATAAATAGATATATAAATAAATAATTAATTAAATTTCTTTACACAAATTAGTGACTTTTAAAAAGTCCAATACATCATAAAGATTGGGCCTCTGGCCCAGAATCTCTTATAAACTTGCATTTCCAAAATGCTGTCTACACCTGGTCTCAAAAACAGAGCAATCGAGCAATATGTGTTTTACAGTAAGAGGACAGTTGCAATACTGGCATACTGGCTGCTCGTCACCCTTCAAAAGGTATTGATGAGTTAACCGAGTATGTCCAATTCTCAAACGAGTAATAATAACTTCAGATCTCCTGTCATAAAATTTCTTGTGCGTCCAATTTTCTATCATAGGTTTGATCTCATATAGTTTATTGTAAATTTCTGCATTCCACATAATTTGCCATCTCTCTGCTAGTCATTTTTTTAACAACTAGATGCAAATCACCTCCTTAAATATGCATTGTATGCTGTGAAAGACTAACTGACTTTGCAGCTGCGTCAGCTTCTTCATTCCCTCTTATACCAACGTGGCCTGGTACCCAACAAAATTTTACAAACAAATCACTTGCAGTAAGATGGCAAAACAGTTTACAAATTTTAATCACTATAGAGTGAGGACTAGGTTCACACGAGATCAAAGCCTGAATTGCACTAACTGAGTCAGTGTAAATCACGCAGCGACGATGACCTTTTCTGATTACATANGTGTGCAAAAAATAAATAATCAAATTTCTCTATACATACTGTATTAATGATTTCAGAAAGTCCACTATATTGTCCAGATTTGGCCTCTGGCCTAAAATCTCTCTAAAGCTTGCATTTCTGAAATGCTGTCTACGACTCTGGTCAAAAACAACACAGTTGCAAAATATGTGTTTAACACTTAAAGTACAGTTGCAGTACTGACATACTGGTTCGTCATCTCCCTTCAAAAGGTATTGATGAGTCAGTCGAGTGTGTAATTCTCAAACAAGTAAGGACAACCTCAGATCTATCATACTGCCTATTATGTGTCCAATTTTCTACTAAAGGTTTGATCTCGTATAGTTTATTGTGGATTTGTGCATTCCACATATTTTGCCATCTCTCTGCTAGTCGTTTTTTAACAACTAGCTTCAAATCGCCTCCTTCGATATGCATTGTATGCTGTGATGGACTTGCTGACTTAGCAGCTGCATCAGCTTCTTCATTTCCTCTTATTCCTACGTAGCCTGGGACACAACAAAATTTTAGAGAGAAATTCCTTGCAAAAAGATGACAAATTAGTTTCTGAATTTTAATAATTATGGAGTGAGAGCTAGGTTCATACGAGATCAAAGCCAGAAGTGCACTAACTGAGTCAGTGTAAATCACGCAGCAACGAAGACCTTTCCTATTTATGTATTTTAGGGCTAAATAAATAGCCTGCAACTCTGCAGAAAAGATGGAAGAATTCGGTGCTATTTGTTCTGCCACAATTTCATTTTGGCAAACAAAGGCTAAGCCAACGTAGTTATCCGATTTCAATCCATCAGTATAAATAGGAATTAAATTTCTGTCACAATGTTGAATTTCTGCGAAGTGCTGTCTATAGACACAGTCTGGCGTGGTTTCTTTCGGGAACTGCTTTAAGCTTAAATCAACATCTATCGCAGGGGTTGACCAAGGTGGAATACTATTAATCTCAACCTGTGAGATGTTGCTTATGTTCAGGTCGATCGTGCTGCTTACATTCTCCATTCTTACGGTGAATGAAGGGACACTACTTGGTCGAGCTTTAAATAACCTTTTCAGCTGAGTATCTGATACTGCACTTTCAACTAAAGGTTTAGTATGAGATTTCTGTTTTAAATAATAAAAAAGAGACAACTGTTCTCTCCTGTGAGACAGTGGAGGCTCATAAGCATCCACATACAAACTTTGGACAGGGGAAGTTCGGAATGCACCAGTGCACAAATGCAAAGCTTGATGATGGATTGGATCCAGCATCCGAAGAGTAGATTCTCGCACAGAGCCATAANATAAATTACAATGTCCTATAGGAATAAAAAAAAATGTATTTTTAATGGAATTACGAAAAATTTTTAATAGAACAATACTACGGAAATATATTGAGATAAAGTTTTGAAAGTTTTTAAAAAAATTATTATTTTGTCAACTTAGTAGGTGAACAGCGACATAGGTTAAATAAGAGTATTTATTTGATTAACAAAGGAAATATGAAACAGTCGAAGAATCCTCTGGTTGGTTGGTTGGTTGGTATTGGGATTTTGGCACAAGAGCCATATAGGCTAAGCTGCAAATGGTAAATAATTATAAACATCACAAATAACAAACATATGACAAAAATAAATAAATAAACAACAGCAACAACAAAAAACAAATATATACATATTAATAACAAACTAGTACAAACAAAAACGTAAGATAAATAAATAGATATATAAATAAATAATTAATTAAATTTCTTTACACAAATTAGTGACTTTTAAAAAGTCCAATACATCATAAAGATTGGGCCTCTGGCCCAGAATCTCTTATAAACTTGCATTTCCAAAATGCTGTCTACACCTGGTCTCAAAAACAGAGCAATCGAGCAATATGTGTTTTACAGTAAGAGGACAGTTGCAATACTGGCATACTGGCTGCTCGTCACCCTTCAAAAGGTATTGATGAGTTAACCGAGTATGTCCAATTCTCAAACGAGTAATAATAACTTCAGATCTCCTGTCATAAAATTTCTTGTGCGTCCAATTTTCTATCATAGGTTTGATCTCATATAGTTTATTGTAAATTTCTGCATTCCACATAATTTGCCATCTCTCTGCTAGTCATTTTTTTAACAACTAGATGCAAATCACCTCCTTAAATATGCATTGTATGCTGTGAAAGACTAACTGACTTTGCAGCTGCGTCAGCTTCTTCATTCCCTCTTATACCAACGTGGCCTGGTACCCAACAAAATTTTACAAACAAATCACTTGCAGTAAGATGGCAAAACAGTTTACAAATTTTAATCACTATAGAGTGAGGACTAGGTTCACACGAGATCAAAGCCTGAATTGCACTAACTGAGTCAGTGTAAATCACGCAGCGACGATGACCTTTTCTGATTACATAGTTTAAGGCTAAGTGGATAGCATGCAGCTCTGCAGTAAAAATAGATGAATTCGATGTGATTTGCTCTGCCACGATTTCATCCTGGCAGACAAAGGCTGAGCCAACATAATCATTCGATTTAGAACCATCAGTGTAAATGGAAATTGAATTCCTATAATTGTGTTGGATTTCTGCAAAGTGCTTTCTATAGATGTAGTCTGGTGTGGATTCCTTAGGAAACTGCTTTAAGCTAAAGTAAACATTTATCACAGGAGTAGACCAGGGTGGTGTACTATCAATCTCAACCTGTGAAACGTTGCTTATGTTCAGGTCAATCGTGCTGCTGACATTCTCCCTTCTTATGTCGAATGTAGGGACACTACTTGCGCGAGCTTCAAATAACCTTTTCAGCTGAGTATCTGATACTGTACAATCAACTGGAGGTTTAGTATAAGATTTCTGTTTTAAATAATAGAAAAGAGACAACTGTTCTCTCCTGAGAGACAGTGGAGACTCATAAGCATCCACATACAAACATTTAGATAGGGGAAGTTCGGAATGCACCAGTGCACAAACGCAAAGCTTGATGATGGATTGGATCCAGCATCCGAAGAGTAGATTCTCACACAAAGCCATAAACAATGCATCCGTAGTCCAGCTTAGAGCAAACAAGGGCCCTATAAATCCTGAGCATAGAAACTTTGTCTGTTCCCCAGGATAAGCAGCATAATACCTTTAAAAGGTTTAGAGATATTAAACATCTACTCTTCAGGTTGTGCAAGTGTGGTAAGAATGTCAGTTTTTTCTCAAAACTAACAGCCAAAAACTTAGCCTCATTTACAATTGGAATTTTAACCCCATTTAAATACATTTCGAGATCCAGGTGCAAACCACGCCTTAGGCAAAAGTGTATGCACGAGGTCTTCTCTACGTTGAAACTAAAACCATTGGTCTTAGACCAATTGTTTATGCGATTCAGGGAGGTTTGCAGTTGTCTCTCAATAAAACTAATGTTGCTAGACTGGTAGGAAATCTGAAAGTCATCCACATACAGAGAGTGTTTCACACTGGGAGGAAGACAGTTAGCTATGCTATTAATTTTAATTAGGAACAGAGTCACACTCAAAATACATCCTTGAAAAACCCCTTCTTCTTGGACGAAAGACCTAGATAATGTGTTGCCAATTCTAACTTGGAATCTTCGATTCTGCAGAAAGTTTTTTATAAAAACTGGCAAATTACCCCACAGTCCGAATTCATGTAAATCACGAAGTATTCCGTAACGCCAGCAGCGATCATAGGCCTTCTCAATGTCAAAAAATACAGACACTAAGTGCTGTCGTCTAACAAACACTTCGCGTATGGATGTTTCAAGTTTCACTAAATTGTCCGTGGTACTTCTGTTCCTACGAAATCCACTCTGATGTGGTGAAAAGTAGTTCTTTTCCTCTAGGAGGAACATCTGACGTCTGTTTACCATCCTCTCAAAGACTTTATACAAGCAACTTGTTAGAGAGATTAGCCTGTAATTAGAGGGATTCTTGCGGTCTTTACTGGGTTTTGGAATAGGGATAATAATTGATAGTCTCCAAGAATCAGGGAAAGTATTTTCTGTCCATATTCTGTTAAACAGATGCAGGAGATTACAAAAAAAGTTGTTTGACAGATTTTTAATCATGCTGTAGTGGATTTTATCCAAGCCTACAGCACTATTCCCTGCGCAAGAAATCACTGTTTGTAATTCGATTCTAGTGAATGGCACATTATATTCCTCATTAGATGATGGGTGAAAGTTTAAATGTTGCTTTTCCTTTTGCACTTTGTAAGCTTGGAAATCCCTTGAATACATTATGTTGCTGGATGACAAGGAAAAAGTTTCACCCAATGTATCAGCAATACACTGTATATCACTGATTATTGTGCCATTATTTTCCAGCATGGACAGAGAATGAGAAGCATATTTCCCATTAATTTTATGAATTTTATCCCAGACTGCTTTTGAGTTAGTGGAAGATGTTATACTAGAGACATACTTCCTCCAAGAATCCCTTTGGCTTTGCGTTCTTATTCTTCTGGCATTTGCCTTTGCTTTTTTAAAAGCAATCAAATTTCTAGAAGTGGGGTATCGTCTGAAAATCCCCCAAGCTTTCTTTTGTGCTTTAAATGCTGCCTCGCAATTCTGGTTCCACCATGGTTTTGGATGGTTTGGGTATCTTCTTGATGTCTTTCCCATTGTTTTTTCGGCTGCCTGAATAATACTGGAAGTGACAACTTCAACTGCGTCATTGATATCAGCAGTATTGACCATTTCCTCAGTGATGTTAGCCAAAGAGGAGAATGCAGGCCAATCTGCCGTTTCGAGTTTCCAGCATGGGGGACGGGCTGTTTCACAGCTTTCTCTGCCTTGATATTTTAGAAATATTGGGAAGTGGTCACTAGAGAGTAGATTAGATCAAACCTCCCATGAAAATGCTGAAAACAAGTTTGGGCTTGCTAAGGACAAATCAATGGCAGTGAATGTTCTTGTTGGGGCATGGAAGTATGTCACTTCTCCTGTATTAAATTAATATAGTTGTCGATTGCCTATGAATCTTTCAATGGTCCTGCCTTGACGGTTAATGTCTGGACTGCCCCAAATAGGATTGTGGCCATTAAAATCACCAAGTAAAAGGAATGGTGTTGGCAGCTGCATCCAATTCATCCTCACTGACTCTGACATCTGGTGGCAAGTATATAGAGCAAACAGTGACAGTTATGCCAATTGAAATTTTGACTGCCACAGCTTGCAGCTCTGTTGTTATTTGTACCGGCAAGGATGGAATGCAATTTGAAACTAGTATAGCCACACCTCCACTGGCACGATTGTGGCTATCATCATCCTTGCGGTAGAGATTGAATCCTTTTAAAGTAATTCTCTCTCCAGGTTTCCATGAGTCTCCTGGAGTGGCACACAGAGAGACGAGGTAGATGATGTCAAGTGTTTAATGTCAGAGAATTTGTTGCGGAAACCATGACAGTTCCATTGGATTATTTTATAATCCATTATGTGTTTGAGGTAGCATTTTTAACAAGGTGATCTCTCTTTAATTTCACAGCTGATTTGCCTTTTGGAGGGGAAGTTGGTGGTGTCACCCCCTTATTCTTCTCTTCATCAGAGAAGTCAGAGAACTCACTCATAGAGTGAGCCTCTGAATTTTTAGGTTTAGAGATAGCTGCTTTCACACTCTGTTTGTTTAGTAAGTTCTTACTAGCTTTTTTAGAACAGACATTCCTGGTTGTTACCCGTTTTAGGTAGGGGTGTTTTGCTTTTCTTGTTCTTCTTTTCTGCTGTTTGGGTAGATTGTATCAACAAACATTTTGCATGGCGTGTTAGCGATTCATTTGGTGAAACNCAAAAGTGAATGCACGCGGTCTTCTCTACGTTGAAACTAAAACCATTGGTCTTGGACCAATTGTCTATGCAATTTAGTGAGGTTTGCAGTTGTCTCTCAATGAAACTCATGTTGCTAGACTAGCAGGAGATCTGAAAGTCATCCACATACAAAGTGTGTTTCACACTGGGAGAAAGGCAGTTAGCTATGCTATTAATTTTAATTAGGAATAGAGTCACACTCAAAATACATCCTTGAGGAACACCTTGAACAAAAGACCTAGATAGTGTGTTGCCCATCCTAACTTGGAATCTTCGTTTCGGCAGGAAGTTTTTTATAAAACCTGGCAAGTTACCCCGCAATCCGAATTCGTGTAGATCACGAAGTATTCCGTAACGCCAGCAGCGATCATAGGCCATCTCTATATCAAAGAATACAGACACTAAGTGTTGTCGTCTAATAAACGCTTTGCGTATGGATGTTTCAAGTTTTACTAGATTATCCGTGGTACTTCTGTTCCTACGAAATCCACTCTGATGTGGTGAAAAGTAGTTCTTTTCCTCTAGGAAAAACATCAGGCGTCTGTTTACCATCCTCAGAGTTTACACAGGCAACTTGTCAGAGATTGGTCTGTAATTAGAGGGATTCTTGCAGTCTTTACCAGATTTTAGAATAGGGATAATAATTGATAGTCTCCAAGAGGCAGGAAAAGTATTTTCTGTCCATATTCTGTTAAACAGATGCAGGAGATTAGAAAGAGAATTGTTTGACAGATTTTTAATCATGCTGTAGTGGATTTTATCCTAACCTACAGCACTATTCCCCGCGCGAGATATCACTAATTCGATTCTAGTGAATGGCACATTATATTCCTCATTAGATGATGGGTGGAAGTTTAAATGTTGCTTTTCCTTTTGCACTTTGTAAGCTTGGAAATCCCTTGAATACATTATGTTGCTGGATGACAAGTAAAAAGTTTCACCCAATGTATCAGCAATACACTGTATATCACTGATTATTGTGCCATTATTTTCCAGCATGGACAGAGAATGAGAAGCATGTTTCCCTTTAATTTTGTGGATTTTATCCCAGACTGCTTTTGAGCTAGTGGAAGATGTTATGCTAGAAACATACTTCCTCCAAGAATCCCTTTGGCTTTGCCTTCTTATTCTTCTGGCATTTGCCTTTTGAAAAGCTATCAAATTATTAGCAGTGGGGTATCTTCTAAAAACTCCCCATGCTTTCTTTTGTGCTTTAAATGCTGCCTCGCAATTCTGGTTCCACCATGGTTTAGGATGTTTTGGATATCTAGCTGATGCTTTCCCCATTGTTTTTTCCACTGACTGAATGATACTGGAAGTGACAACCTCAACTGCATCTGCATCATTGATATCTGCAGTATTGACCATTTCCTCAGTGATGTTAGCCAAAGAGGAGAATGCAAACCAATCTGCCGTTTCAAGTTTCCAGTGTGGTGGACGGGCTGTTTCACAGCTTTCTCTGCCTTGGTATTTTAGAAATATTGGGAAGTGGTCACTAGAAAGTGGATTAGATCCAACCTCCCATGAAAATGCTGAAAACAGGTTTGGACTCGCGAATGAAAGATCAATTGCAGTGAATGTCCTTGTTGGGGCATGGAAGTATGTCACTTCTCCAGTATTAAATAAATATATTTCCTGATTGCCGATAAATCTCTCAATGGCTCTGCCTCGACGATTGATGTTGAGACTGCCCCACATAGGATTGTGGCCATTGAATTCACCTAGTAAAAGAAATGGAGTTGGCAGCTGTTCAACTAATGCATACAATTCATCCTCATTGACACTGACATCTGGTGGCACGTATATAGAGCAAACTGTGACAGTTACTCCAATAGAAATTCTGACTGCCACAGCTTGCAAATCAGTGGTTATTTATACCGGCAAGGATGGGATGTGATTGGAAACCAGAATAGCCACACCTCCACTGGCACGGTTGTGGCTATCATCATCCTTGCGGTAGAGATTGAATCCTTTTAAAGAAATATTTTCTCCAGGTTTTAGATGGGTTTCCTGGAGTGCCACGCAGAGATTGGGTATATGATGTCAAGTGTTTAATGTCAGAGTTGTTGCGGAAACCACGACAGTTCCATTGGGTTATTTTATAACCCATTATGTGTTTGAGGCAACATTCTTTGTGAGAGTATCTCTCTTTAATCTAACAGGGGGTTTTTCTTTTGGAGGTGATGTTGGTTTTGTCACCACCTGATTAGTCTCTTCATCAGAGATATCAGAAAACTCACTCATAGAGTGGGCTTCTGATTTTTTACATTTAGAGAGAGTCACTTTCACTCTCTGCTTGTTTAGTGGGTTCTTAGTAGCCTTTTTTGAACCCAGGTTTCTTGTCATTACCCCTGTCTTAGGTAGTGGTATTTTTACTCTTATTCTCTCCTGTTCTGGTGTTTCTAGTGATGGGAGTATTAAACATTTCGCATGCCGAGTGAGAGATTCCTTTGGGAAAACAGAAATGTCGGTTTGAACTCCACATGTCTTTGTGGATTTCAAAGCAGCAGCAAATGTCTTTTGTTTTAGTGGTGCACTTGAAGTGACCATACGACGGGCCTCTGGGTAAGGTAAGTTGTTTACTGTTTTTACACGCTGGATTTCTTTTTCTGTCTGCCATGCAGGGCATTTGTGGAAGTAGGCGGGATGTGCGTCTTTACAATTCACACAGCATGGAGTAGTGGTACACTCAGTACTCTGGTGACCTTCAACTCCACACTGTGCGCATATGTTCTTCCCTCGACAGGATGTTTGAGAATGTCCAAATTGCTGGCATTTAAAACAATGCAGCGGATTTGGAATGTACAAACGAACTGGACAGCAGAGGTATCCTGCAGTAATGGAAGTTGGTAATATTGGCTTGTTAAATGTGAGGATAAGATGCTTGGTTGGGATCAACTTGCCATCTCGATGAATGGAGATACGTCGAACGGCAGTCATATCTTGGTCTGACAGGCCAATCTGAATATCTGTCTCTTCTTCAGATATCAGATCAACCTCCGATATCACATCACGAGATGAGTTTAAACTTCCGTGTGGTGTGACAGTCACTTGCATGTCTCCCAGTGTCTTTGTTGTCAAGAGTTTTGTCGACTGTTGAGGAGAGGCTGTTTCTATAAGTAAATCCCCTGATCTCAATTTTTGTATTTTCTTCAGATGTCCAATGGTCGATTCAAATAATTTCTGAATCAGAAAGGGAGAGCATTTAGACAGAGGTTTCTCTCCAGTACTATGAACTATGAGATATGCTGGCTTGTTGGAAGAGCTAACGTCCTTTGATAATGATTTATCTGTATTTGGTCAGTTTTGTTTTAAAGAATCCATATATATAAAAAAAATTTTCAGTTCCTAGTGACACCACCCACCATGGGGCCCAACAAGGGAATGCCGTCACATGGGAGTTTCCCATAGACCATCACACCAAGGTTTTCCAGGAGCTACACCCTCACAATGCAGTCAAGAAGAGCACATCTTGTATGACATGTCTGCATCGATCGGTTGACTCCAAGCCGAGGTCAAGAATGACTCAACAACCAGCCGATTGACTCAAACGGAGCCTGATTTGAGCCTCCCGTTTATCTGAAGCAAAGGCCAAAGCAGTGTGTTGGGGACGTTATGTTGCCCCTCAACTACCAGGATCTCCCTTTCCAGCATACGGGATACCACGCACGGCAAACACGTGGGTGGGTGTTCAGATCCCAGGGATGGTAGAGAAGACTTTCTAAACCATCTCTCTGGGAGGTCCCCTCACCACGGACAGGAACCCACATCGAGGGGCCATAGAAGAAAAAACAGGCCAGTTGGCTGTTTCCAATTTCCAGCGTGGTGGATGTGCTGTTTCACAGCTTTCTCTGCCTTGATATTTTAAAAATATTGGGAAGTGGTTACTAGAGAGTGGATTAGATCCAACCTCCCATGAAAATGCTGAAAACAGGTTTGGGCTTGCTAAGAAGAGATCAATGGCTGTAAATGTCCTTGTTGGGGCATGGAAGTATGTCACTTCTAAAGTATTAAATAAATAGATTTGCTGATTGTTGATAAATCTCTCAATGGCTCTGCCTCGACGATTGATGTCGTTACTGCCCCACATGGGATTGTGGCCATTGAAATCATCTAGTAAAAGGAATGGAGTTGGCAGATGTTCCACACACAGAACTCTCCTGCCTTTCACCCACATGAAATCAAGGCCGTTTTTAATAATCTCCGCAACCGCAAGGCCCCGGGACACGACGACATCACTTCCGAGCTGGCAAAGAAAATTTGGAATATTATCCCACACCAGCTAACAGATCTTTACAACACCTGCCTCAAGTATGGAATCTTTGCAGAAGCCTGGAAACATGCCAGAATTATCCCTGTTCCAAAGCCTGGCAACTCCGAAGAATGCAGGCCTATCTCCCTCCTTCCTGTACTAGGAAAGGTCCTGGAGCACCTGCTAAACAACAGGCTTATCTGGCACCTCGAAACCAACTCCCTACTACATGCTTCTCAATTCGGCTTCCAGCCTCAAAAGTCCTCTGAAGATGCTATTGGGAATGCTGTTAACAGTATCAACAATCTGCTCAAAAGCTACAAGTATGTCCTAGCGATAAGCTTGGACATTGGTAAAGCCTTCGACTCTGCTTGGTGGCCCAGGATCCTTCAAGGCCTGAGAGACTCCAACTGCCCGGCCAACATTTTCTGTACTCTGCGTGACTACCTCCACCACAGAACTGCAACACTGCAATGTGGCAATTACAACACCTACTAAAAAATGTGGTCCGCGGATGCCCTCAGGGCTCCATGTGTGGCCCTGAGGGCATCCGTGGCTATTGAAGGCAATGTTTCAGTTCTCTGGAACATCGCCTTCAATAGTTCCTAACACAAGACTTTGGGCATCATATCACTGCCTATGCTGATGACACCCTTGTGCTTGTGAGAGGCCGCTCTCGCACCGCACTTGAGGATCTTGGCAATAAAATTCTACAAAACATCATAACTTGGGGACATGACAAGCTTCATTTCAATGCGGAGAAGACCAAAGCAATCATCTTCAACAAGCCTGGCCAGCCTAACCTCTACCGCATTGAGATATATAATCATAATATCATGATATAGATTTAGTATATGTCTTTACACCGAAAAAAATTTTGTAAATCGATTTTTTGTTTTTAAATTTTGTGTAGAATTTACACTGAAGAGGGGCTCATACAAGCCTGAAATGCATATGTAATTTACAATAAAGGAATACTTAATTTAAGAGCTGAAAGAAAGTCTACCGTTTGTTAACCATTCGGATTGAAGGAACATATACTAAATCTAAGTATTTATCAGCTATTATACCAGATTTTGTGAAGGATATCATGTTATCATGCATCATGTAATCATAAATGCGAATGACCCCCTTCATCAGGTGAAGTCAGGTGATCATTTGCGCAGTGTGTCGAGGGAAGCGTCAGTATATAAAGCTGTTTGCCGAGGTGCTGAACTAATGAAATCACTATGCCAAAGGCAATCTGCAAAGATATCCGCGCATTAATAGTTAAACATCATGATGAAGGCACTACACAGGAAGAAATGGCTGAAATGTTTACAATATCCACCAGAATTGTGGCAAGAATCATAAGGTTACATCAGGACACAGGATCTTTGTCGCCTAGAAAGGCGCTAGGGCGAGCCCGGAAGACTACAGCCAACGAGGACACTCGCCTTGCTGCTGCTTCGGAGGTGAGCCCATTCAAAACAGCAACGACACTCCGAAGGAAGCAGAATCTAGACGTGTCGGCATCAATTATAAAACAAAGGTATGTAACATTTGTAGTATAATACTGACACTTCCAGCGAAGTATGTTTCGATGGAAATGTCAATATTACAGAAATACAAGTGTGTTAACGTGTTCTTGCGTATACAGAAATGTAGGAAACAGGATAACATATATATGTTTGTTTTAATAATAGGTTAAAAGAACATAACCTTCATGGTCGTAGAGCCGCAAAGAAGCAGATATTGACAGAAAGAAATAAGCTTGATCGGCTGGGATTTGCCCAGACCTATGTGAACTGGAGTGTGGATGACTGGGCGAATGTCGTCTTTTCAGACGAAACATTTTGCTCTGAGAATAGCGGGACCATTTGGGTGGGCCGACCACCATCGACGTGTTTTGACGCGAAATACGTGTGGCGCACCCAACGAAGCGTTCGCTTCTACGTAGGTGAGTTTTTACATTTCATATGTTTGTCCATGTGTTATAGATCACAACTTGATTTGACGTATTCTGTTTGCAGCTATGTGGGGATGGATGAGTTTTGCGGGACTCGGGGAGTTGGTCAGAATTGACGACCACCTTGACACAACCCAATACATCGAGATATTAGAAGATGTGCTAGTGCCCACGACGAAAGCAGTGTTCGGGGACACGCCAAGGTGGTTTGTCCAAGACCTCTCCCCGGTCCACACATCCTGAAGAACGCAGCAATGGCTGCAGGAACAGAATTTCTTGCTAGACATGAAATGGCACCCCAGGGGGCAGACCTCAACCCCATCGAGCACGTCTGGGCGAACATTACCAACGGGCCCATTCAGGCGGCAACTCCCGCCGAACTGTGGGCAATCGTCAAAGGTCGGTGGGAGAAACTGTGCGAGGGCATACTTTGCGAAAGTCTAGTCACAAGTATGCCCTTGCGGCTGAGTGAGGTCGTCAATAAAGGAGGTGACTGGACGAGGTTCTGACTCTCTCTCCCCTCCATCTGCAATGTATTTTTTTTGTATATTTGTGGTAGAAAACCACATTGTTTGTTATTTGTAAATATTTAATAAATGTATATGTAAAGTACCCGTTAGAGAACGGCTATTTCCGGCACACAGTATTGTCGATAGTCGTTGGAAAGTTGGAAAATTAATATAGTACTTTACAACTGGCGCCCGAACAGGGACTCTAAGGTTAATATTAGACTTTATTGCTTTCTTTTGTTTACTTTGAATTTAGCTTTAGAGGAATAACACCTCATAAAAAAAAAAAANATTCAGTACTAACGTGGTCTTCACTCCCACACTGTGCGCATACGCTTTTGCCTCGGCAGGATGTCTGTGAATGTCCAAACCGCTGGCATTTGAAGCAGCGCAGCGGATTTGGAACGTAGGGGCGGACTGGACAGCGCAGATATCCTGCAGTAATGAAAGATGGCAATGTCGATTTGTTAAATGTTAAAATTAAGTGTTTGGTAGCAATTAACTTGCCATCTCGACGAATGGAGATGCGTCGAACGGCAGTTACACCTTGATCAGCAAGGCCGATCTGAATATCTGATTCATCCTCAGACATCAGATCGATCTCTGATATCACACCACGTGATGAGTTTAGACTTCCATGTGGGGTGAAAGTTACCTCTATATCTCCAAGTGTCTTAATTGCCAAAAGTTTTGCAGATTGTTGAGGTGAGGTTGTTTCCAGAAGCAGATCTCCTGACCTCAATTTTTGTATTTTTTTCAAATTTCCAACTGTAGATTCAAACAGTTTCTGGATCAGAAAAGGAGAACATTTTGATAGAGGTGTTTGTCCAGTAGCATGGACTATGAAGTAGGTTGGCTGACTGGAAATGATTTGTTTCTTTGTAGCATTGTCTGTAGTTTTGTTTGATCTTTACTAAATACTGTATATAGTTTATTACTAAAAGTTTAGTTAAATATTTGATTTTTGTTATTGACAAAATTTGTAATTATTTAATTCAATGTACGCTTAAAGTCCAGGCCTGGCATACTACCACGAATCTGCGTAAAGTACCCGTTAGGGAACAGCTATTTCCGGCACGCAGTAGTGTCGATAATCGTTGGAAAAGTCGGAAAAATAATATATAGTTCTTATACAACTGGCGCTCAAACAGGGACTCTAAGGTTAATATTAGACTTTGTTGCTTTCTTTCATTCACTTTGAATTTAGCTTTAGAGGAATAACACCTCGTAAAAAAAAAAAATGATCATAGTGCACCAGTAACCCGAGCTGAATATAACCAGTTACGACAGCAGTTGTCAGTGCTGTTGCAACAAGTGTCATCCTTGACGAATGCCGTAACTCATCTGACTTCATGTGTCACGTCTGGAACTGTAGAGCCTACAACACCGAACGTTACAAGTGCTGTACGGCCCGAAACTTCTACTCCGAGACAGGAAGTGCCTACATCTAATGCATCGGTGGTCTGGCTTCAGACTGCACCGCCGCCGCCAGCCATCCAATTTAACGGTAGGTCAGCATTAAATGCTAACGATTTTTTGCAGGACCTCGAACAGCATTTCCTGGTGAACCAAATACCGAACACTAGATGGGTAGATACTGCCGCTAGTTGTCTTCGCGGTAGCCCAGCAATGTGGTGGAAGAATGAAGGACGCCACCGAATCGGCAACGGTTGGCCGTTATTTAAACTATCTTTTCTGGACCTTTATGCTCCTTTAGCTGACAAAGTAGCTGTCGCTAAACAACTATTTAGTCAAAAATACACAGGAACCAATGGTGTCGAGCAGTTTATATGGACCACGGTACAGCTATACTGTACGTGGAGACCTTTAGCTCGTGACGAGGAAATTATACAATGTGTAGTTGCCCAGATGCCTCTTCCGTTACGTGAGTATCTGGAGAATCGCCGTTCTTATTCGTTAAACGAGCTAGTACGCACTGCAAAAGAGTACGAATTCAGAAGAAATGACCAAGGTTCTTCTGACAGTGCAAAGCAGATTAAGGACTGTCGAAAAGTAAGTAAGCAGATAGAGCCGAAAAATTTTGCACCGGCAAAGTCACCCATGACCTGTTATTCATGTGGTGAGGTGGGACATTTTTCGAGGAATTGTCCCAAGGGGAAAAGACAAACTGATCAAACGAATGTCAAGACTCCCAATAGTCCCGAACGAAAAGTAACATGGCAAAGGAAGGGTAATGGAAAAAGAAAACCTTTAAACTAGACGGGAGACAGCGAGAGGAGGATCCTGTCTCCAATATGGATCCAAATGCCTCCACCGTAGGACTAATCGTTAGTGAAGCCTCCAAGTTGCCTGAGGTAAACGTTTTTATTAATGGAGTACTAACCTCAGCCCGAATTGATACGGGTTCTGACTTTACTTTAATAAATGATTCCGTGTGGAGGAAAATTTCTTTTCAGAATCGAAATATTCGGTTACAAGCTGGGCCGAATTTTAAGTTAGCCATTGAAGGAGGAAAAGGAACCTCTATTGGAAAATTTCTGGCAAAGATCCAGATTGGAAGTGTTACCCTTCGCCAAGAGTGCGTTGTAGTAAAAGGACTTATAATGCCATGCTTACTAGGGCGTGATTTCGCCAAGAATCATGGAATAACAATGGATTTTAAAAATTCGACAGTTTCTTTGGACGTAAGTCAACCAAAAGAGAGAATTTCACCTAAGTGGGACGAACTCCAAACCACTTTGAGTGGTGAAAGGTTAGTAACTTTGAAAAACGTATTATTGCAATACCCGCAACTATTTACAGATAAGCCGGGACTAACCAATATGATAGAACACGAAATCGTCACCGACAAGGCGACACCAGTATGTGGACGTCCTTATAAATACTCTGACGTCAAGTTAAAGGAAATGAACCGCCAGATAGCGGAAATGTTAAAAGATGGTATCATCCAACCATCAAATTCTCCGTGGGCCTCACCAGTCGTCATGGTTAAGAAAAAAACGGGCGATTGGAGATTGTGTATAGACTATAGAAAGCTAAATCAGGTAACAGTGACTGATAAATATCCTTTACCGATTATTTCAGAATTACTGACTTCACTTAAGGAAGCGAACTTTATAACTACGTTGGACTTATCGTCTGGTTACTGGCAAGTGCCGTTAAAGGAACAAGACAGGCCGAAGACTAGTTTTATTACAAATAGTGGATTGTATGAATTCCTAGTCATGCCTTTCGGTCTCAGAAATGCCCCAGCAACATTCCAAAGGCTAATGGACAAAGTCCTAAAGGAAGAAAAAGGAAAGTATTATCAAGTTTATTTAGACGATATTATATATTCTTCTAATTTTACAGTACACATCGAACATTGGCAGCTGCAGGATTAACCATTAAATTGGCTAAGAATCATTTTTGTCGCCCAGACTTTCATTACCTGGGATTCAAAGTCAGCAATAAAGGCATTGCGACGGGAGACGAAAAAGTAAGGGCCATTCGAGAGTTTCCAAAGCCCAGAAATACGAAGTTTCTTAGCACCTTGTTGGGAATGTGCAGCTAGTACTGTAGATTCATACCTAACTACGCAACTGAGGCCAAGGTACAACAGTTTCAACAGTTTCAACTATCGAAGTGCGACGACTTTTGTCAGCAAGGAATACGCTGCGCTTCCCACAGACCTTTCCATGGACCCCGAACATGCACGACAGCGTTTTGTCAGGCTCCAAGAGTTTGTGCGCTATCTGCGAGATGCCAGCGTCATCGAAGTCTTCCACGCAGCGCTTTGGGCAGCCTCTATGTGCAAAAACCCAGACCGGACAACCCGCTGACATTCCTGCAAAGACAGGTGTTCGCGGACGACGCGGCCCGCATCAACGATCTCAACCTCCGCCTGGCGGCCTCAACACTCATGCTGGACGAACTGCGACAGGAGGTAGCAGAGCTACGCGCCCAGGTTGCCCCACAACAAAACAGAAACGTTCCCGACGAGAACGACACGGACTAGTCGAGGCAGCCTGCGATATGCCCGCATTTCTTCGCATAATACATGTCATCGTGATCATCCACAATATTCCTAGTAGTACGAAGTACTAATCGGCTTCGACCGTACACTGTTTTGATTGTTTCTTTGATTATTACACCTCACCGTGATCGTCCACAATATTACAAGTAGTACGAAGTACTAAGCAGCTTCGACCGTATGCTTTTTTGACTGTTGCTTTGATTATTATACATCACCGTGATCATCCACAATATTCCTAGTAGTACGAAGAACTAATTGGCGTCGACCGTACGCTTTTTTCATTGTTTGTTCCCAGCATTCTAAATCATGGCATACAGATATGTATGCAAGTAAATACGTGTAAATTCAATTACGACAACAAATAAAAACTTATTGAATTTAAAAAAAAAAAAAAGTTTTTCTTACGATAACAGACTGGGGTAACCACTCACTAAAACAATTAACAATGCTAAATTATAACCTGACAATCAGTCTGTAACGTGAAGAAAAATAATAAATCGTCAGAAAAAATTTTGGTATTAACGCTTCACCCCTGTTCACACCAAATAAAAGCGTAAAAATGGCAACAAGCCTTGGAACTCGCATGTGATTGTATGTCAACATTTTCCCCAAATTGTATAACAAAGTTAGAATAAATTTATTAAGCAACGAGTCACTCTCGCTTATGTCAAATCACTGTAAAGGATGTATTAATTTGTAAACCTGGCAGCAATTGTATATAAGGCGCACTCCTTTAGAAGAGATAAGAGTTGGAGAATTTTTGGCTTTAAATGATAAGAGAAATAAATTTCTCTTTAATCTAAAGGGGAAGGGGTGTAAGGAACAAAGTCCAAACGTTATTTTTATTTACTTTTATTTTGCTTATTATTCTATTTTTGTTTGGGGCTTATGTTTCGTTAGGACGAAGGTTTCCTCACCATTCAACTTAGGAATTTAAAAATAGAAGAAAAACCAACTCACCGACAAAAAAAAAGCGCCATAGAAAAACTCGCACACACTTGATTTTTCTTTTGAAGGTGATGTGGGTTTTGTCACCTCCTGGTTAGTCTCTTCATCAGAAGTATCAGAAAACTCACTCATAGAGTGGGCTTCTGATTTTTTACATTTAGAGAAAGCCACTTTCACTCTCTGCTTGTTTAGTGAATTCTTACTAGCCTTTTTTGAACCCAGGTTTCTTGTTATAACCCCTGTTTTAGGTAGGGGTGTTTTTGGTTTTATACTCTCCTTTTCTGGTGTTTCTTTTGATGGAATCAATAAAAATTTCGTGTGCCGAATTAGAAATTCCTTTGGGGAAACTGAAATGTCAATTTGAACTCCACATGTCTTTGTGGAATTCAAAGCAGCAGCAAATGTTTTTTAATTTTAGTGGTGCACTTGAAGTGACCATACGACAGGCCTCTGGGTAGGGTAAGTTGTTTACTGTTTTTACACACTAGATTTCTTTTTCTGTCTGCCATGCGGGGCATTTGCAGGAGTAGGCAGGATGTGTGTCTTTGCAATTCACACTGCATGGAGTAGTGGTACACTCAGTACTCTGGTGACCTTCAACTCCACACTGTGCGCATATGTGACCTCGACAAGATGTTTGAGAATGTCCAAATCGCTGGCATTTAGAACAACGCAGCGGATTTGGGATGTACAGACAAACTGGACAGCGCAGGTGTCCTGCAGTAATGGAAGTTGGTAATATCAGCATGTTAAATGTGAAAATAAGATGTTTGGTTGGGATCAACTTGCCATCTCGACGAATGGAGATACGTCGAACGGCAGTGACGCATTGGTCTTTAAGGTTCATCTGAATATCTAATTCATCCTCAGATATCACACCACGTGATGAGTTCAAACTTCCATGTGGTGTGACTGTGACTTCAATGTCTCCCAATTTCTTTGCAGCTAGAAGTTTAGCGGACTGTTGAGGTGAGGCAGTTTCTACAAGTAGATCTCCTGACCTCAATTTTTGTGTTTTTTTCAGACGTCCGATTGTTGATTCAAATAACTTCTGAATCAAGAAAGGGAAACATTTTGACAAAGGTTTTTCTCCAGTAGCATGCACTATTAAGTAGGATAGCTGACTGGCAGTGTTTTCTGGCTTGTCTTTATTTTTTGAAGTTTTAGGATCCATCATTAAATAATAATATTTCAGCTCCTAGTGACCCCACCCACCATGGGGCCCAACAAGGGGATGCCGTCCCATGGGAATTTCCCATAGACCGTCACACCAGGGTTTCCCAGGAGCTATACCCTCACAATGCAGTCAAGAAGAGCACATCTTGTCTGACGTGTCCGCCCGGTCTGCATCGATCAGTTGACTCCAAGCCGAGGTCAAAAATGACTCAACAACCAGCTGATTGACTCAAACAGGGCCTGATTTGAGCCTCCCATTTATACGAAGCAGGGGCCAAAGCAGTGTGTTGGGGACGTTACGTTGCCCCTCAACTACCAGGATCCCACTTTCCGGCATACAAGACACCACGCACGGCAAACACGTGGATGGGCGTTCAGATCCCAGCGATGGTAAAAAAGTTACTACACCATCTCTGGGAGGTCCCCTCACCACAGACAGGAACCCACATCGAGAAGAAAAATATTGGAAAGTGGTCACTAGAGAGTGGATTACATCCAACCTCCCATGTAAATGCTGAAAACAGGTTTGAGCTTGCTAAGGATAGATCAATGGCAGTGAATGTTCTTGTTGGAAATGGAAGTATGTCACTTCTCCCGTATTAAATAAATATAGTTGCTGATTGCCAATAAATCTTTCAATGGCTCTGCCTCGCCAGTTGATGTCCGGACTGCCCCACATTGGATTGTGGCCATTGAAATCACCCAGTAAAAAAAATGTAGTTGGCAGCTGTTCAACTAATAAGTCCAATTCATCCTAATTGACTCTGACATCTGGTGGCAAGTATATAGAACAAACTGTGACAGTCACTCCAATAGAAATTCTGACTGCCACAGCTTGCAAATCAGTTGTTATTTGTACCGGCAAGGATGGGATGTGATTTGAAACTACAATAGCCACACCGCCACTGGCACGGTTGTGTCTATTATCATCCTTGCAGTAGAGATTGAATCCTTTTAAAGTAATTCTCTCTCCAGGTTTCAAATGGGTTTCCTGGAGTGCCACACAGAGAAATGAGGTACATGATGTCAAGTGTTTAATGTCAGAGAAGTTGTTGCGAAAACCACGACAGTTCCATTGGATTATTTTATAATCCATTATGTGTTTGAGGCAGCATTCTTTGTGAAAATGTCCCTCTTTAGTTTTACGGCTGATTTGCCTTTTAGAGGTGAAGTTGGTGGTGTCACCTCCTTATTAGTCTCCTCGTCAGAGAAGTCAGAGAACTCACTCATAGACTGAGCCTCTGATCTCTTAGATTTGGAGATGGCTGCTTTCAATTTTTGTTTGTTGAGCGGGTTCTTAGCAGCCTTCTTAAAACCAACGTTTCTTGTCATTACCCCTGTTTTTGGTAGGGGTGTTTTGGCTTTCTTGGTCTCCTTTTGTGATGTTTGGATAGTTGGGTAAATTAAACATTTTGCATGGCGAGTAAGAGATTCACTAGGAGAGACAGAAATATCTGTTTGAACCCCACATGTCTTTGTGGATTTCAAAACAACAGCAAATGTTTTCTGTCTCAAAGGTGCAGTTGAAGTGACCATACGACGAGCCTCTGAGTAGGGTATCTTGTTGACTGTTTTCACCCGTTGTATCTCCTTTTCTCTTTGCCATACAGGGCATTTTCGGGAGTAAGAAGTATGGGCATCTTTGCAGTTAACACAGCATGCGGGTACTGGTACACTCAGTACTCTCGTGACCTTCAGTCCCACACTGTGCTCTTACGCTCTTGCCACGGCAGGATGTCTGTGAATGTCCAAACCGCTGGCATTTGAAACAACGCAGCAGATTTGGAACGTACGGACCGACAGGGCTGCACAGATAACCTGCTGTAATAAAAGATGGCAATGTCGGCTTGTTAAAAGTGAGAATTAAATTTTGGTTGGTATTAATTTGCCATCCCGACAAATGGAGATACGTCAAACAGCAGTGATACTTTAATCTGAAAGATTCATCTGAATATCTGATTCATCTTCAGACATCAGATCAAACTCAGATATCACACCACGTGATCAGTTCACACTTCCATGTGGTGTGACTGTGACTTCAATGTCTCCCAATTTCTTTGCAGCTAAAAGTTTTGCCGACTGTTCAGGTGAGGCAGTTTCTACAAGTAGGTCTCCTGACCTCAATTTTTGCGTTTTTTTCAGATGCCCAATCGTTGATTCAAATAACTTCTGAATCAAAAAAAGGGAACATTTTGACAAAGATTTTTCCCCAGTAGCATGCACTATTAAGTAGGATGGCTGACTGGCAGTGTTTTCATTCATGTTTTCTGGTTTGTCTGTATTTTTTGAAGATTTATAATCCATGATTAAATAATATTTCAGCTCCTAGTGATCCCACCCACCACGGGGCCCAACAAGGGGATGCCGTCACATGGAAGATTCCCATAGACTGTCACACCAGGGTTTCCCAGGAGCTATACCCTCACAATGCAGTCAAGAAAAGCACATCTTGTCAAACGTGTCCACCCAATCTGCATCGATCAGTTGACTCCAAGCCGAGGTCAAGAATGACTCAACGACCAGCCGATTGACTCAAACGGAGCCTGATTTGAGCCTCCCGTTTATCCGAAGCAGGGGCCAAAGCAGTGTGTTGGAGACGTTATGTTGCCCCTCAACTACCAGGATCCCCCTTTCCGGCATACGTATATACGCATACGGGTACCACGCACGGCAAACACGTGGGTGGGCGTTCAGATCCCAGGGATGGTATAGAAAAGTTACTAAACCATCTCTGGGAGGTCCCCTCACCACGGACAGGAACCCACACCGAGGGGAAACCCTAAAGTTAACAGATGAATAAGAGCAGATGTTCATTAATGTTGAAGTCCCTAAAATTGGATATTACCAAAGAATTTTTGAAGTTTTCTTCAAGTTCAAAAAATAATGTGTCCGTAAAACTACATTTGGAGCAACCAATATTTGTATTTTTAAGACAACTGGAGCAATTTGGCTATTATTTATGGATATCAAAAGCAGTCTGTGAAATTTACAGTCCAAAAATACAAACTTGTACTAAATTTTAATTAGATTTAATTTCTGTGCCACATTTAAGTTCACGCACTTTCTTTTTAACTTCTGAAACAGTTGGTGCCATTTTAAATTGTACGTATCTGAATGCAAATGAGCCCCTGCAACAGTCAGGAAATTATTTGCATGACGTGTCGAGGGAAGCGTCAGTATATAAAGTCGTTTGCCGAGGTGTTGAACTAATGACAGCAATATGCCAAAGGCAATCTTTAAAGATATACGCGCTTTAATAGTGAAACACCACGATGAAGGCACCACCCAGGAGGAAATTGCAGAAATGTTTTCCATATCAACCCGAACTGTGGCGCGACTCATCCGGCTACGGCAGGAAACGAGATCGTTGTCGCCGAGAAAGGCGCAGGGCCGAGCCGGCAAGACAACGTCCGACCAGGATGCTCGCCTCGCTGCTGCCTCAGAGGCGAGCCCTTTCAAAACGGCTACTACTCTCAGGAGGGAGCACAATCTAGACATGTTGGCATCCACTGTTAAACGAAGGTATGTAACATTTGTAATATAATACTGACACTTCCAGCGAAAAATATTTTGATGGAAATGTCAATATTACAGAAATACAACTGTGTTAATGTGTTCTTGCGTATACACAAATGTAGGAAACAGGATAATATATATATTTGTTTTAATAATAGGTTAAAAAAACGCAACCTTCATGGCCGCAGAGCAGCTAAGAAACAGATATTAACCGAAAGCAATAAGGTTGATAGGCTGGAATTTGCCCAGACCTATGCCAACTGGACAGTGGATGACTGGGCAAATGTCGTCTTTTCCGATGAAACTACATTCTCCTCCGAGAATAGCGGGACCATTTGGGTGCGCCGACCACCATTGACACGTTTTGACGCAAAATACGTGTGGCGCACCCAACGAAGCGGTCGCTTCTCAGTAGGTGAGTTTTTACATTTTGTATGGTCGTCCATGTGTTATAGATCACAACTTGATTTGACGTTTTCTGTTTGCAGCTATGTGGGGCTGGATGAGTTTAGCGGGACCCGGGGAGTTGGTCAGAATTGACGGCCATCTTGACACAACCCAATACCTCCATATATTGGAAGATGTGCTATTGCAAACAGTGAATGCAGTGTTCGGGGACATGCCAAGGTGGTTTGTGCAAGACCGCTCCCCGGTCCACACATCCCGAAGAATGCAGGAATGGCTGCAGGAGCAGAATGTCTTGACAAACATGAAATGGCCCCCAGGGGAGCAGACTTCAACCCCATCAAGCATGTATGGGCAAAAATTACGGAAGGGCCCATTCAGGCGGCCGCTCCAGACGAACTGTGGAGCATAGTCAGCCGTCGGTGGGAGAAAATGCGCGAGGGCATACTTTGTGAAAGTCTTGTCGCAAGTATGCCCTCGCGGATGGCTGCGGTTGTCGATAAATGCGGGGACTGGACGAGGTATTGACTCTCTCTCGCCTCCGTCCACAAAGTATATTTTTTTTTTGTTATATCTGTGGTAAGAACACCATACTGTTTGCTATTTTTGTAAACACGTAATAAATGTATATAGTCATTTGTAATCTGTGTGTTTCTTATAAGAAGTCATGAAAATGTTGCACAATTAACCGTTATACTTATTATAACTGTTACTTGGCATTAATGTGCATTTCTGGCAGATTGGTCGCTTCGTTTGTTATATCTGATTTGCGATTCGGATGTAGTAGTTCGGTAACGATTCACGGCCAATACGGTTTGTGATCTACAGGGTGTGACCTGCAGGAACATCCAATCAAGCGAGTACTGTAGAAGAGGGTGTGGCTAAACCTTTTAACAAATCGTGTTCAAGGAAATATACCGATGTTTTATTGGATAATAACAAACCAATATAATTTGTGTTTTGTCTCTCAACTAGAAAAGTTAATCAGTAAGCAATAAAGTGGCGAGCTTGCGAAAAGGGGAGAGAAAGCAAATTCAGAAAAAAAAAAACAGTTGAGGAGAGAAACGTAAATTTACAAAACACTGAGGCATGTCACCTTTGCAATTGAACTTGTTTATTTAGAAAAAAAATTGAAATCTTAAACAGTGATTCTCCGAACTAACATATTAGTTCCAAATTCCTGTTCTTGCTCTCAATCGACAAAAATGTAAAAGTCTCATTACCTGGTTTGACATTCGTGAACATTACAAATCGTGTGTTCCTCGAGTCTCATCAAAACCCGAAATTAGTTGATGGCGATAACGCAATATATCGCTCTTAATTATGTCATGTAAAATGTTTATTTTCATTTGATTGCAAAACACTATAAGATTGTTTCCAGTAGCTTAACCCCTTCATTAGAAAGCCTTTGAAATCACGTGCGAAAAAATGTATAGCTTTTGATTACTTAAAAAAATATTTAGTACAAATGTAAAAAAGTGTGTATATTTATTATTTATAATACGGCGAAAACGTTCCCTGAATGGCCTCTTTTCCAGATAAACAACTTTACAGGCAACTTCACGCCTGCAATGAAGACTTTCCCGTAGAAATTCTATGTGATGCGTGGAAAGCTGCCATTCGTAGATTACATCACATGAGCTTTAAATAATAATTAAAAACATATAAAAGAAAATTACAAGATATAAAAATAGTTATAACATAATTAGTATAGATTTAAATGAATGTCATATCATGTGATACGTGAATACTTACAAAAAATAAAATATCGATTCGAATATAATGTGAATTTAAAAATTAATAAAAACAAAATTTAAATACAATGAGATCTGTTTATAAAATGGCAATATATTTTATTAATATATATATATAATAACGAAGAAGAGATATGAAAACATTTTTTGCAAACTTGAACTCTCAAGATATATTTATTCATTATCTAACCCACGAAATGTTCGTTACCATTTTAATTCATAAACTTTATACAAGTAGAATTTATAACAAATCGATTTAGAACATGATAAAAACACTTTTATAACCAAAGCGGTAATATATTATAAAAAATGTATTAAAAATAAACAGTTCTCTCAAAACTGATTCTTACATATCAACGACAACATTCTGTTCAATAGAATTAAACGGTAACCTTGACATCTGACCCGCCTCCAACAAGGAAGGGAGTTCTTGTTTATAGAGTAACGTGATACTTCGCGCGTTGTTGCCATTAATGGTGGGTGTGGATGGCAGCTCACTTGACACCCTGTTGTGAAAGTAATAAACTTTAACCGACCTTGACAGACGTGTATAGTTACTAAGAATAACAAGTGGGGAGAAGTTCTTTAAACGGTAATAAAAAGCAATTCTATAAGGAACTCTCCCGCTCTACTCGTATTACCGCAATAGCAATAAAC